TAAAAAACTCTTCTTAGTTGTATTTAAGTGTTGAGGACAAAGGTCATCGGTTGCTCTATACTTCTAGACAATGAGAAAAAAAGACAGAAAACAAGAACTTTCTAGCTCTAAACCAGAGAATGTATAAGATCATCCCTAGAATTACAAGGAGAAAATCCATTCTTTGTATTCTGCAGATAGAGGACTATTAAGAACAATGGTCATAATATTAACTTTAATGCCGATCAGTTGCTCTATACTTCTAGATTTTTGCCTAAAAATTCTCCTATTGCACTCAAACTATATGTTGTATGTTGTAGAAGCCAAAGACATTCTTTTAACTCCTTGTTTGAAACCTCTCCTCTTCAGATTTGAACAATACTAGTGCAAAAGAAGAACCCAGTCACAAGTTCTCCAGCGAAAGTGAAGCCAATCCATTATACCATTCCACACCTCCTTCGAAAAATTACATTCAAAAAATAAATGGTTTTGATTCTCCATACATTCTCCTGAGCATAGACTGCATTTATTTATATGAATAAACCCCCTCCTGATGAGTTTGTCTTGGGTAAGTAATCTGTTTTGGACAGCCAGCCAAAGTACAAAAGAATGCTTAGGATAATTTAGTTTTTCCCAAACTGTGTCATACCAAACCACTTTAATTGTTGCAGTGGTAAGGGCAGTGTACAACACATAGAGTTTAATTTTTGAATTTCTGCAACAGAACTGATTTGTTGAATCAAATTCTCAACTCCACCATAAGTATCCAGAGCTTCATCTCTAGTTTTTAACAGCTACTTCCAAATCTATGAATCTCCAACCTTAGCTTCCACTTGCCATATATTCCTGTGCTTTAGATAAGTACCATGAATCTATTTAATCCATAATAGTTCTTTGTTGGAGTGAATATCCCAAATTATTTTTAGGGCTGATGCATTGTTCCAGATTGTAGCAGAAAATATCCCTAGCCCTCCATACATTTTCCCCAAGCACACTTTCTCCCAGGACACTAGAGGCACCTTGAATGCTTGACTTGAATTACTCCACAAGACGTTTCTGCATAGCTCATCAACTTTTTGAAGAACTTTGATAGGTAAGACATAACAAGAAGTCCAATAGAACTTAACACCTACGATAACACTCTTGATGACCTGTAGTCTACTAGCATATGATAAGTTTCTAATTTTCAGATAGCTTTGGAATTGGCTGGAAATTTTGTTAAAGAGAGGGATACAATCAATGAATGATAACCTTTTTCACACAAAAGGAATTGTCAGATATTTGATAGGCAAATTCCCTTCAGGAAATCCCAGATAACCATGGATGAAAGTCTTGATAGAGAAATCAACCCCTTCATAGAAAATAGAGCATTTGCTAGGATTTGCTTCAAGACCAGAAGTTTCACTGAAATTCTTAAAACATTGATAGAGCTTTTGAACTGAGTTAAGGTCCCCTTTACTGAATAATACCAGGTCATCAACAAAAATCAAATGATTGATCTTTAAATTACCACACTTTGAGTGGAATTTGAAATTTTTGTCTTGCTTTAACAAGTTAAGACTCCTTGACAGATACTCCATACCCAAGATGAACAAATAAGGTGAGAGGAGATCCGCCTGTCTTAAACCTCTCTCTCCCTTGAAAAAACCATGCAAGGAACCAATAAGTGAAATGGAGTACTTCGGAAAGGTTATACAAGCCATAATCCAGTTGATCATCTCACTAGGGAACCCCAATCCATTAAACATTTCTTTTAAGAATTTTCAACTGATTGTATTAAAGGCTTTTCTAATATCAATATTATTCATGACCCTAGGAGATATATTCTTCCTGCCATAGTTTTTGACAAGCTCATGTTCTAATAAAATATTATTTGAAATATTCATGTCTTTCACAAAAGCACTCTGTGCTTCACTGATAAAATAACCCATGACTGATTGAATTCTATTAGCAAGGATTTTTGAGATAAACTTGTATAGGCGATTGCAACAAGATATCGGTCTGAAATCAGAGAGAGTTTGGGGGCATTGTACCTTGGGGATAAGTGTTATGAATGTGGAGTTGATTGCATCCAATAACTTCCCTGACTTGAAAAATTCTTCAATAGCTATTGCGGACCGATATGCAAATAATGCTGATAGAGCAAGGATTTTGATTCTATGGGATCCAAACACTCTGGAGGTTAATGTTGATAGGAAATAATCACAACACATTACCTGCATGGTTAAATCTTTGGATGACAGGTTAGATTGCTTAATTTCCTCTATATATGGCCATAATCATTTTGAAGATAGGAAATCCCTTTAGCAATATCTATATCAAATCCATCAAACTATTGTGAATATGCCATGGATACTTTGTGGTGATTTCAATGCTATAACTGGCGGTGGAGAAAATTTAGGAGGAGCTAAGGTATCAGAGGCCGAAACTTCTGATTTCAGGAATTTTATAGAAAGATGTCATCTATCCCACATGAAAACTAAATGATGTTTCTTTACATGGAGCAATAAGGAAGATTCAAATTCCAGAGTTTGGAGTAGGCTTGATAGAGCCTTGGTTAATGATCCTTGGATAAATTTGTACAACTCTAGCCATGTAGAATTCCTGCTTCCAAATTGTTCTGATCATTCTCCTGCATTAGTTTCAATTTATGACAATTGTTTTCAAGGTAAAAAAATCCTTCAAGTTTTTTAAGATGTGGACTAAGCATAACAGTTATTTGCCTCTAGTTTCTGCTATTTGGCAAACCTCAATTACAGGTTGTGCTATGTTCTCAGTTGTTAGCAAATTGAAGATCCTGAAAAATGATCTGAAAGATCTTAATAAAAGGAATTTCCACAATATCAGTGAGCAAGTAATCAGGGCTAGGCTAAATCTGGAAAATGCTCAAAGCAAACTGCAAAATGATCCTCTTAACCCTAATTTGGTTAATCAGGAAAAAGTTTGCATTGCTTCTTTCAATAAGCTTTTGGAATGTGAGCTGTCCTTTTATCATCAGAAATCCAAAATTCAAAGGAGTATGAAAGAGGATAGATGCACTAGCTTCTTCCACTCTGCAATCAAAGCTAAGAGGCATCTTAATAGAATAATGGTGCCCTATAACAATGTAGGGGATAGAATTACAGAAGGAGATGATATCATTAAAGAGCTAATTTCTTTTTATAAGAATCTCATGGGTTCATCCACAATTACATCTAAACCTGACAGTAATATCATTAGCAATGGACCATGTTTAAATGATGCACAAGCAAGAATCCTTTCATCTCCAGCGTCCAAGGATGAAATCAAAAATGCAGTATTCTCTATGTCAGATGACAAAGCACCTGGTCCTGATGGGTATAGCATGTCATTCTACAAGTCTGCCTGAAATATCATAGGTGAAGAGATAACTTTGGCCATTGATGATTTTTTCAAGATTGGGAAGCTCTTAGGAGTAGTTAATTCTACTGCTATCGCTGTTTGGGTCAAAAGTTGATTTCATTGCCAACAAACTCATTACAACTGTTTATCGATTACATGTTCGAAAAAAAGAAACTGGTGATCTTTTTATAAGATCGACCTATACAATAAAAATAAAAGATCACAACTCTTGTCAAACTACACACAACAGCAGTTTATCTCCTGTTGTTTGCGTGGAAACTTCACCTGTGCCGGGGATGTGTTAGTCCATTGACCACCGTGGAACAGATCCAGCTAGCAAAAAAAGTTAATCACGACTCCTACTTCATGAAGGAAGTAATCACAGAAGTGGTAATCCCGACCAAGCAAAATTATAACTCTTCTCGAGATTAAGACTAAGCTTAATCCGGAGGAAAAGGGAAAAATAGGTCTCAGATATCTCGAACTCTCTTTCTTTTTTATTGAGGAACTTTGCTAAGATCTGCTAACCCTCTGAATTCGTGCTCCACTCTCTAATTTGACAGCACTTCGCCCTCTTGATTTTTAGATGCAGAGAAATGAGCCCCAGGCTTGTATTTATAGGCTTCGATTTGGGGGGAGGGGGG